CCGGCCCTGGGGGCACTGGGGAGACTGCCCCACTGAACCTCACCGGTAGGGTTTGTGACAGCGACCTGACTTTAGCTCCTTACCTCCAGTGTGAAGTTGTTTATGCTATGTTAATGAAGTAGACAATTGCCAAAGTCCCTAATAGATAGAGTATTTTCAATAAGCTTTATGTATCTAATTTTAAAAAGAGCATTCAACTTTTTTCTTTCATCTCATAAAAATCTTGGAAAATTAAAACAAGCTATTTGACTCAGAGACAGTGAATGCTGCAATCAACCTGGACATTTCTCAAATATGATCCTTTATGAAAGAACACAATCCATTCCAAAATAACCATTTACATAAAACAGTTGAGACATTCTTGCCTTCTGTTAAAAAGATATAACAGTATATTCCTTAAAGATCATTATCAAAGTCTCCACAAAATTATGTTAAATTCCAAGAGCGTAAGAGAGTAGTAATACTATCATTTTTCCCTCCACACTCAGTCGCCCCCCCCCTTTTTAAAATCCTCACCAGAGGACATTTTTCCATTGCTTTCAGAGAAAGAAAGGGAGATGGGGGAGGGGGGGAGAGAGAGGGAGGGGGAGGGAGAGGGAGGGGGGGAGAGAGAGAACGAGAAACATCTATCGGCTGCTTCCCCTAACAGGGAATCAAACTCGCAAATGTTCGGTTTATAGTACAACATGCCAAGCAACTGATCCACGCCAGCCAGGGCTCGACATGTCAACTTTTTAATTTCATTTCAACCACCCATTATGACAAAGCAAAAAAAAAAAAAAAAGAAAAAAAGAAAAAGAAAAAAGAAAAAAAATCTAAGTTCTGAGAATATCCCATATAAAATGACCATTTGACTACCTAAAAAGCTAATTCAGAAAAGGTTTAATTCCTGTTACTAATCAGAATTCAATTTGAAATGATTTTTAAAAAAATAATGCTACTAATAGAAATGCCAGGAGCTTTAATTTATGGGCATGGAGGAAGATTTTTATTGAAAACTTTAAAGGGCAAAATATTGGTATAATGCACCACTGCCCACGATTCTACAAATGAGACCCGACAGTGACTAGGTTATTTTCTTCTCGAATTCACATACACTGACTCAACAAGCTGTTTCCATCTAGAGTCTAACAGACATATTCCTCAATAATATGAATAAGCTAAGTACTTACTCATTTTACTGCGTAACTGATTTTAGACAAACTGATAACTCATTCATTAACTTTTTCTGAGAATGTTTCTTTAATTCATTAATATGACTAAACATTATAATCTTTTATTTTCAAATTATTGTACTGAGTTTTTTGGTTTGTCATTATGGTATATTTAAAAAGAATTGCCTACTTAATGTAACAAATAAAAGTTTAATCCCTAATTTTACTTTGACCTTCCTCCTGCAAATACTGCTTAAGAAGACATCTTCTCAAACCAACCTTTTAGTTAGCAGTATTGATAAGAATAAATTATTCTAGAATTCAAAAGGTTTCTTACTGATGCTTTCCCATCAGAACTAGGCATGAGTATTTTCTATACAAACTTACTAGGGGGAGAAGCATCTCAAGCATTACATTGTATCCACTGGAGGGCACTCAACAGGACCAGAGCAGGCAATGCAAACAGGCCCCGACACTACCCTCTGCTGCCTTCAGGTTGAGGGAGACTTGGGAAATGGGGAAATGTCTCTTCAAAGGAAAGATGCCCCCAACCTAAAAATTCAAAAAAGGTAGTTAAACTCTAAAAAAGGGTTCCTAACGTGATTGACCTCCTCTTTTACAAGCCACTTTTTCCTTCGGGAGAAAGAAAGCAAATTATGTACATACTTCAAGGATAGCAGGGTCAGGCCTCAACAGCCGGATCTAAGTTTCAAACTAAGTCAAGCTCAGTCTTGCAGGAAACACAAAAGCAGCATTCTTAGGTTAACAAAGAAAATAAAGAACTTTCTCCTGAGTTTAAGTGATGAAAAACTATGTAAGTTAATGCCTACTCATTTTCAGTGAACACAAATCACCTATTTTCTTTTTGTGGAAACTAAATATATTTATTTTAGTTCACTAGCCTAGTTATCTATCACACTCATAATTACAACAGTATTACATAAACAACAGTCTTTTAAAGAATGAGAACTGACTCTGCAAGTCAGGATCCTCCCAATGAGGGTAATAAGAGACAATCGCTACATGCTCTAGCTCCTACTCGGTTTACTATTTACTTTTACGGTATAAAAATGTTTTCAGTCAAGCTATTCAACAAAACTGATATTCCCACTAAGAAGGACACCGAAAACGAGACGACACGCAGCACCACGAAGAGTAACCAAGACACTCTCTCAGGAGCGGGCCCTGCCCTAAAACCGCCCCCTCGGCCTCAGCTGGCAGTCAAGCCTGGTGCCTGCCCAGGTCCACGCGCGAACTCAGCATTCACCTCCTGTTCCTCTACAGGTACTGATTATCAGCAATTAGCAAATGATGAAAGAGAAACAAATTCATGCTATGACTGGACAGATGTATTGTTTCTTTTCAATAACACAAGATTCACTTGGCTGAAGGTACTTAATATAGTCCATTTCTGAAATTTTATTTTCACTGCTACTTACAACTTACAAAGGAATGACATTCAAACTTTTGAATTGTCCACGTTCCTAGTTTCAACAATACTTACACTCCTCTTCCCACCCCTCCCAACGACAAAAAAAATGAGTTCTGCGTAGTTTTCTCCTAAGTACTACACACATCTCAAAATACCTTTGAGAAATTTCCTGAGGGGGAGAAAGAAACTATGAAAACAGAACTTCGTTTACGTAGACAATTTTTATTCCAGTCATTATTAGTTAACAGTAGGAAGTGTGATTCACAGTTTAAGTTTTAATATTGGAATATGCATTTTTCTCCGTAATAATCTTGGTAAAGGAAGCAGTCAGAAAATCAGTTCAAAAGAAATAAAACTTTTGATGATTCCTGACACATGAACACTGTTAAAAGCTTCATTTTTTTATTAGCCACTTTACTTCTTAAAACTTGGCTTTTCCTGAAAGCTATTGAAAATGACCGTTCTGGCCTCTGGGAGCACCTCAGGCCTGAGACTGCAAGGACTCTAAATTACATGCTATGCTAAACTTCCCGCTGCAGTTTCTCCTTTTCCCCTGAAGGACTTCAGACTTAGTCCCAACATTCCTTTAACTCTATAGAATAGTCTCCTGCAAATTTTTCAAGTTACTTTTGCAGCCACTTTAAGACCTTGTCCTTGTATGCGGCCTTCAAAACAAAGAGACTAGGTCAAAATAATGAATATTGGGCGCAAATCAGTCAAATTTTGTGAATGGATATTATCAGATAAACTTACGGTACTTTTTTTTAATGCAGATTTTGTGGGTGTAAATGTAAAAGTAAATGTAGCAGCAGCCTCAGCTCAGACTTAAAAGAAACAAGAACACCTTCCAAAGTGTTTGTCACTAATTTACGTCGGTATGTCAAGCTATGCCTAATAGTTCCTAGAAGGAAGACTAGTTAACAGGAAGGCATCTGAAGGCGCTGAATGTTCACCAAGCGACAATAATGAAAGTGTCCTAAATTCCAGACAAAATACTTAATAACTTAGCGATCCGAAAAACACCAGCCTAGCCTTTATCAAAGGAGAGCTGTCTCTTCAAGTTGATGCCTAGCCTAAGCCACCACTATTCACCGCACAAAGCTCCCATTTCACTAAAACCACTCCTCGATTTCCTTTCGCTGACCCCTGCATACCAGCAGGCCGGTCTCTCCCCATTCACCGCGCACAAACTCGGGGGGAGGGGAGACCACAGATGTCTGGAAGATACAAAGTATGAGACAATGCGCCCTCCCAAAGGGAACAGAAAACGGACGAAACGACTGGACCCAACTGCCAACGCTTTCAAGTGGAGCGGATTCGGGAGCGGGCTGTGCGAGCTGAACTTCCAAAGCGTCTGTTCCACGTCCTCTCCCCAGACAAAACACCGAGAGAAGTTGCAATGCTACGATTTCACTTGGCCAATTGCGTAGCGACGGGAAAATTCACTCCGTTTGAAAGCAAGCGTGCTCTAAAATCATGTTTAGCTGCCATAGAACTACGTGAATAATTTCCACGAACCAAATTCCCGAAGCAGTCAGAGGCTGAACCCCGGGGTTCCGTCCATAAGCAGCAGCACGCCGGTCGCCCCAGCCCGCATTTTTACGAGGGTCCCACACCCACCGCCACCGACCCAGGGCACTGCCCGCCGCTTTCGCTCACCTGCACAAGAAAATGAAGGTGCCAAGACCAGGATTTTGTAGGTGCACATCCTACTGACGCATCGCACCGTCTGCACTAATACTTTGGTTCCTCTAAGGTTTAAAGTTGCTTCGATTTAAATAAGCGCCAGTGCCAAACTCACACAGGCAGGGCATTAAACACACAAACACACACACACACATACACACACACACTTCTCTCAAGAATGCTCTTAACAATTCGTCCTTAAGAAGGAAACAGGAAATCTGGAGAGAAAGTCCACTGGCCTTATCCCCATGGCAGATGGGACCTAGGGTGGCGTCCCAGGCCCGGCGCCCGTACCCCAACTCCCCGATGGGAAGGCGGAGTCCCCCAGCCCCACCCCGCCCCCCACTCTGGCCCCCGCGCATCTAGAGGCGCAGGGTCCCTCCCCCAAACTCGGCCGCGGCCGGAGCCCCCGACGGAAACCCCCGCCCCCCGCGCTGGCCGTCGGAGCTCCTGGACGCGTCCACGCGCGCGCGGTGCCCCCTCGCCGCGAGCGGCGCCCCCAGGGCCCCCGAGGAGCAGCGCGACCGGAACCCGGGCCCGGCCACCGCCCTCCGCCCCCGGGCGCGGCCCCTCCCCGGAGCCCCCAGCCCGCTCCCCACTCCGGGCCTCCCGGCTGCGCCGGGCCCGGCTCTCAGCCACCGCCGGGACTGCGCGCCCGCGACGAAGTTTGGCTCCGAAGAGGGAGCGGGAGCAGCTCCAGAAGGGTAAGGAAAGGAGCGCCCATGCACCTCAGGGGAACAGGCTCCTCCCGCCGCTGTAGTCCGACCGTCCTCGGCCTGCGGTGGCGGCTCGGCGGGGACTGGAGCTGCTTCACGGACGTTCCTCCGTCTCCGCCTCCCCTCGCTCTTCGCTCTCGCAGCCGGTCTAACGCGACTGCTACAGACCGAGAGGCTTAAAATGGCGCCGCACAAGGAGCTCTTATAAGTCGCGCAGGAGCCGCTGTATCCTGCCGCCACCGGCGCAGCGCGGAGCGTTCCGCCGCGCGAGGACAAGGGGCGGGGCGCGAGAGGACGCGGAAAGTAGTCCCCGCGCCGCGGAGCCCGCTGCCGCTGTCCCAACGCCCCGGGCCCGGGCGGGGCACCCGCGCAGTCCCCGGACGCTCCTCTGTATAGATCCCCACGGCTGCCCCGCCCTGCCGGACCAGAGGGCGGCTCGCGAGGGCGAAGTGGTACCGGGGCGGGGGTCCTGGATAGGGTAGGGGGAGGGTGGCACGAGGGTCCTCCGCTGTCCCGAGCCCGATCCCCGAACCTGCGCGTGCCCCGAACCGTGAGAGCGTACGTGGGGCTTGCTGCGCGCTTTCCGCCCTCCGCGGGAGGCAGCATCTTGGCCCCGGCCCTCGGGGGACTCGAGGGGAAGCCGACGCAAGTCCTGGGAGGGCGGAAATTCGGGCCCCAAGCGGCAGACGCGCGGGCGCTGAGGTCGCGGCCCGCCCGGCTCCGGGCACTGGCGGGTGCCGCCGCCACCGCACCGCTGTCTGTCGGCGGACTCCGGCGGGTCAGGGCTTCCGCCGTCGTTGCTGTCTGGGCCACACACTCCCTGCAGGACATGGCTCCCAGCCGAGCCGCACAGCACCCTCAAGCCCCTCACTCTCCTGATCGTGGCTTCCGCATCCCAACAGGGTGCTCATCCTCAATCTAGAAGTGAACTACCGGGCGGAGTGCCTGGTATCCCCACTCCCGAAGGCTGTGAACTCTCGTTAGAATGGGCGCTTAGCCCGCAATTCAACAAGTCCTTAGGAATACCTACTGTGAATAAATGACTGGTCGAAATGGATTAGCTCTAGAGCACTGCCAATTGGGTTAATTATTATAGATTCCTTTTTTATCTATTTCCGCTGAGCTAAAAACCAACAGATGGGGGGTACGGGGGGCGGGGTAGGGATTTTTCTTTGGAGGAGGTGCATTTCTATGGTATTACTTTTTTGAGAAACCCAAGTATGTTGTTTATAGAAGGAACTACGGATTAGACAGCTTCTGATTTTTTTAAACTGATTTTTTATTCTTCAAAAACATTTTCTAATTCGTTTTAATAGGCTGAAGGTGGGTCTTCGGTTCCCTTGGAAATGTCTCTATTGTAACCCAGCAAGATTGGCATTTGTCAAAGCTGAAATAATTATCCATTCACTTTCTCTAGTCTGTTGTTTTATGCTTGGTTTTTTCCCCCCCTTCAAAACAATGGAGAGTACAAAAAGCAACAGTGAAAGTTAATCTTGAGTCTTTTATCCCTGTAATTAATGCATGCAAACAATAGGTCTTTATACATAGGGACAGGCAGGAAACCTACTCATTCATTCATGGAGTAGGATATGGAGTTTTAGGCATAGCTAGTGCTTCAGGGCCGACGTGTTCTTTAAATAATTCTTTTTTTCTCTATCTTAAAGATATTTTACTATATACAATGGCAATGTCAACTGCTGCTTGTCTCCGTGGCACATATGAGCCCCTGCAATGGAAAAAAGTCCACACACTAAGATGATGTTCAGTGAGATCCATTGTCTAGAGTGACTTTCACATTCGTATCTTTGCTAGTAACTCTCTAAAGTGCGGCTGATGGTTGTGGTTAGCTCGGCTGGTCATAATTCAGATTGAGCAGAAAAAGGTATTTCATCAAAGGAGTGTTTCTAATAGAAACGTTTTCAAAAGTGTAAATAACGTTTCGATCCTCAATTTGAATTCTCATACACAGGTATACGGCTGTACAGTTGATTTGATTAAAGTCATACATTTAAAATTAAGTGACTGATTAATCAATATTAGAGAATTTTTTGGTACAGATGTTTTCTTTTTCTATGTTCACCTTTTGTGTGTGGGTTTTTTTTTTATTTTTTGGGTAAGTAACACACATTGTTAAAATTGGTTAAGAAATATTTGCATTATTAGAACATGTACAGAATAAAAACTTACACATTTGTATTTCTCTTTGGGTGCCAAAATAAGTGAAGCATTTTTCTGTGATTTAAATATCTTAATCTAAATTTAGAATTAGGATTTTTAAATCCCTAGTAGTGCTTTAAGCAAACATGTGTTATTAAAGGAAATGTAAAATTTGCAACAATGCAGCAAGCTGTTTCTCCCATCAAATTTAAGTGCAGTGAAGAATTACTGGGTGACTAGTATTAAAATCAAATAGTTGAATTTAACAAATTGTTCAGAATTTTTATTTCATTTCAAAAAAAAAACCAAATTGTTCCAGTTGTCTCACAAAAAATATCAGATGAATACCTTCTGTGAAATGAAGACAAATGTTATTATTAAATCAATGAGAAATACGAACATCAAAATACCTGATGAGTTGGTGAAATAAGTGATCTTACAAAAATTATTCTTAAAAATTGACCTTGGGCAGTACATGTCATAAAAAAAAATACTTGGTTATCCTTCTATGCTTTTTTCTTGTAGAGCCAACCACTTGGGTTTGATATAGATTAATCCATTTTGTGAAACTGCAAAAGACAAATGGTTCTAAATTTCTGTCTGTATTCCTAGAAACCGAAAGTGTCTCCAGCTGGGTGAAAAGAGGCGGTATTACTTGTCCTGGTATCAGGCCATTGACATATCAAGCAGTGGCTACATGGAACCTGAGCGTAAAGCATCCCTTTTCTAAAATACATGCTTTTGAATCACCTTTAGGCAAAGAAATAAATGCCCAGATTGTTTTTGCACTTCCGACAGAAACATTAATCCAGCCTGCAGCTCTTTAAAGAAGGCCCATTCACTTTTTTGCATAGTTAACTCTATCAAATCTATTCATTAAACATTTATTGAGCACTAAGACAATGAGCTTTCTATAGAGAGAGGGAAATGGATGACTGGCTCCTTTTGATTAGGTTCCTTAAATTAAAGTATAATTGTAATTGTTAATCAACCCTGCTTGAAAGTAAACAGAAACGGTAGAAAACAGTGAAAGGAGGGTGTGGTCTCCCCTGGACCCTCTCTTCGGCTCTCCTTGGGAAGAATCCTCTCCCAGCAGAAAGGTAAGACAAGTAATTATTCCATGCATTTATAAACAGTAAATCCTGACTCTCTGAGAAAACCAGTTAAATACCTTTCTTTTGACAGCCTGAAAACACTGGACAATAATCAGGATCAGCTTTTCACTTAGCAGTTCACCAAGTGGGCTATTTATGGATTGGAACTTTTGATGTGCAATACATCATCTCAGGCTTCAGTGTTATCTTTTGATTTCTTTCCAGCTGAACAGGCTAAGTAGTTGTAAATACCCCTTGTCAGACTATGTGGTTGGCTATTCTTGCACACACAAGTAATCTAGGAACCCACTGGGCAAATTCGGCGGAGAGCCACTGTGGAAAGCTCACACCGGGTGTGCGCTGCTGAGCAGGGAGGGGCAGCGAAGGTGGCGGGAGGTGATGGCCGTGGTGGCGGCGGTGGCGGCAGCAGTGGTCGTGGTGTTCATGGCCGCCCCAGTCATGCCAGCAACAGTCTTCGCGGCTGGAGTCGTGTGCTCTCCAGGCCTTCGTTGATTTGGCACAGTGGTCCTTGCCATACTAAAGAAGATTGTAATGGCCACCACAGAAAGTGTGAAGGAGAAGCAATGGAGACATCAGCCGTGATAGTGAAAGAGCACAAAGATACGTGTGTCTCCCTGTCTCTGAGAACTAAGACAAACACCGCTGCACTGCTAAGGGGTTATGCTTTGGAGACATACCCCTCCAACATACACCGTACACACACGCAGACACACTCACACAGCTCTCCATTAAAAATTTCAAAATGGTCGCAGATATTTCATTCACCAGAAGGTTAAAGGCGTTTCCCATCGCAAGAAGGATTAACTTACCCGAGGATTCTGGGACTGCAGATGTATACTGCGGCAAAATCCTAAATTCATCGAAAAAATCATTTCTGGACTCCAGCTGCTAAAAATAATAGAATTATAGTAAATCATGAATAAGATTAAAACAAGCCATTTTCACATTCCAAAGTGTTCGGGGGGGAAAAAAATGATTCTTTTCTTTTAACTCATTTCTTAAACAATGCAAATTTTAAAGTAGCTTTTCTTTTCCAGAGCACGAAGCGCCATGAAATCGATAATTTTTGATCTTTCGGTTAATAGGCAACATGGTGAGCTAGTGCAGGGACTGCGGGCAGCAGACACGTTCTTGTCAGCTCCAAATTTTCATATTGTTTTTGAATCCATTGAGATTTGTAGATGTGCTATCACCAGGTTTTTGTCTTAGCTGGCACCAGGCTCTAGGGACGCAAACCCTCAGTTTATCAACATAGGCATATCTGTTGCTTTCTATATATTAAAAACAGGGAGTCTTACTGGATCTTAAACAAAAAATTATGTAAAAGGAGTGGCTGGTGTGATTATAATCCCATCATGCAGGGTCCACGGTTCCCATTTAGTGAAATTTCGCAGAGGGCAACTTCTTAAGAACATCCCTGCTGTGCAGAGTGAAAAGCATGAACAAACCAAAGACAGAATTCATCTGTGTTTATATTTTACAAACAATGAAAAACCTACTCTTTGTATGCCTTTTTCCCCCACCTTATTATTTCATGAAAACTGCAGCATCTCCCCCGCCCCCATCCAAACACTCACCACCCCAGCGCTGCAGTGTTTCGTCCCTCGCGCTTCTCCTTCGTCTCCTTTTTCGCTTTCACAAATTCTGCACGCGCCATCTTTGTGTGGGGTGATTCTCTGCTAATTTCACTCACCCATTCTCTTACAAATCGGTTCAAAAATAGAAAATTATAGTGCGCTTTGGGGCTCCATTCGCCTAAATTTCTTTTCGTCTTTCCTTCTGACATAGAAAAATGGAAATGATGGGGTGGGGGGGAGCCAAAAAAGGGAGATATTTCTATTATTGCCATAACCTGTTGTATACAGTGGTAATAAAAATATTATTAACATAATAGCAACAGCTGCAGCCTAAATAGAAGCTGAGATAATTAATGTGCTACAACAAATTAATTTGCT